CTCACTCACTCACTCACTCACTCACTCACTCACTCACTCACTCACTCACTCACTCACTCACTCACTCACTCACTCACTCACTCACTCACTCACTCACTCCAATCAGGGCTGGACAGAAATGATGTTACCCCTGAAAATAATGTGACCAAAGGATCGTGTTAAATCAAGGTGTGTCCACTAATTATCATCACAGGTGTCTTCTCGTCTCTCTTGAAAAACAAACCTGCAAAATGAAAGCATGTTTCATTCTAAACTGTCACATTTGCCATCAAATATTACAACTAAAATGTTCACAAGTCAGTTTCCCAAAGTAAAACACACAAGTAGTCGAAAGCTTTTCTGCACAGCATGCAAACTTGTGGTGGAACATAGACAAAAATCGTCACTTGACAAGCATTTTTCAACTGCAAAACATACAAGTGTTACGTCCCGGCTAGTGATGGACACAACATAAATGACAAGACCCAAAATATAGTATAAAAAATGTAATTTACAATTTAATTTTAGTATTAACGTGCAAAGAACTAAAGATAAAATAGAACAAAGGTAGGAGGTTTTCCTCAAAATGAGCTCAAATGCAGTAAAACTGTTGCACAAAAAAGTAAACAGACCAATAAAAGTCTATGGGGCAAAATCCCAAATAGATAGGCCTATAAGAAAACAAAACACAAAATCTATAATAACAAAATGAATAAACCAAAACTACTGCCTCAAACCAGAAATAGAGTTTCACAAAACAACGTAGTCTTGACTACCAAAGCTTCTAAATAGCCAAAACCAACAGTCCCCAACAAAGACAATCTAGTCAACCCAGTGGCATACTGCACCTAAAGCACAGCAGCACTGACTGACAGGTTCAGCTGGCTTTTAAAAGCTGGAGCAACACTTAAATGTGTCAGGGGATTTGAAACACTGTGTCATTTCAGCACAATTGATTCTGCAATTCTGCAGCGCAAAGTAGAAAGAAACAGGAGTAGAGAATTTATTTCTAGCAGCAGAGCAGGTTGAAGGATAGGTTGTTTGATGTTGTTTTTTATATTTATATTGTATTTTTAACATAGATATGAAACTGAGTTTTTGAAAAACTGTAAAAGTTGAAAACAATCAGTGTGATTGCTGTATATGTCCATATACCTGCAAAATGAGGCTAGCAAATTATGGAAAACCCATACAGCTTGACATGTTCACATTATTTATAGATTGTACCTAAAAACTATCAAAATATGTTTTAAATGTAAATTAGGGTATGAAATAATATAATATAAAACAATGGCTTAAAT